GGGCAGTAACACCTTCAGCCCACCCCCGAATTCTAGATAAGTCACAAAGGCCTGCACTAGGGTACCTTTTCACATGGATGAGGAGTGAGGTTGTTTATGGAGTCTTGTTTATTAAGTCTTATGTTTGTTAACTCTAATGTATTTCCATTGGAATATTTTCCTTTCCTCCCCATTCTACCAGTTTTTAGTAGACAGACTAGGAAGGCTAGCTCTTTACTGTGGTTGAACATGGAGCAACCAAACTTATCTTGTCTGTCAGAGAGCATGTGATTCAGAGGGAATCCTTTTAAAAACAGTCCCTTTACAACTACAAAAAAATTTAAAAAAAAAAAGATAGTTGTGGGATACAGTCAACTCAGACCTCCATGTACTCATCTAGGAATGGAAGAGAACCCCTTCTACCCTAACTGGTGACATCCATCATCTCCCACTCCTACCATGTGAAATCCAGAGTTACACTGACAAACCTGAAAGATGAAGGGAGAGGGATTGTATTCAGGATAGTCTAGAATTTTGAACTCTAGAGTGGAGAGATAAACTAAGGAAGAGCATGATCATTGGTAATTCCCTTAAGCTCATCACAAATATTGCTTGGTTTACATTTTAAGGCTGCAGCAAGCAAATGTGTTGGGTCAAATATGCGGTTTGGGGGAGGCCAGAAATATGGTGCAGCAAAAAGGGCCTTAAGGCAAAGAAACCTGGGTTCAAAGCTCAGAGAATTAAGCTTTACTGGCTTTGTGACTTTGTACAAGTTAGCTGACTTTCCAAGCCTTATATTCCTCATCTATAGAGTTAACAATACCTAGCTGGGTGTGGTGGCACATGCCTGAAATCCCAGCAACTTGGAAGGCTGAGGCAGGAGGATTGCAAGTTTGAGGCCAGCCTCAGCAACTTAACAAGGCCTTAAGCAACTTAGCAAGACCCTGTCTCAAAATTAAAAGGGCTGGGGATATAGCTCTGTGGATAGGCGCCTTTGGGTTCAGTCCCCAGTACCAAAAAACAAACAAAAAAGGACCGACCTCATCATGATTAGGTAAGCTAATGTGTGTGAAACTTCTGCTCGGCATGTAGAAATATTATAACAGCACTACAGTAGGTCTGAAGCACACAGAGACAAGACAATGGGATTGTTCCAGCAGCCATCCTTGGTACCACAATTGATGGGAAAGCAGGCTGAGTCTTGGTTGCAAATCTCACGTGAAGACACCAGCAATGACCTTGGCAGCCCTTGTGTTTGTCCCAGAATTCTCTTCCAACAGGGGAAGTACTTGAGGATGCTTGCTCTGTGTGGGTATTTTCACAACCACACTCTCACTTCCCCCTGTGATGACCCTGTGAATTTGGTGGTGTAAGAAACATTTTACAGATGGCCAAAGCCCTTCTGTGACAGACAGACCCAGGTTCAACCCAAGTCTGTCTGCCTTTATATCATCTACCATCTTCTACTCCATTATACTCCCCACCACGATTTTAGCTATTGGGCAGTTTGTGAGTATAGCATGAAAAACTCTCTTGAATTAATAAGACTTTATCTTAAAATGCTGGTGTGAAAAGACTGTGTGTGTGTGTGTGTGTGTGTGTGTGTGATGCTGGGGATTGAAGCCAGGGCCTTCTGAATGTTAAGTATGTGCTCTACCCCTGAGCCTCATCCCAGGTCCAAGAAGACTTTCTTCACTCTGAAGTGAGGAAGGAGGAGGGAACCTTCACGGGTATTTTGCCAAGACTAGCTCATGTCAGAAACAACTGGCCCAAAACCAAATGCTTCTTGCAGATTACCAACAACTGTTCGGAAAACTTGGATTTTTCAAGATAGAAAGGAACACAGGGGTTAAGATCATGAGCAAGAGGGATGGGGGAGAACAGCTTCCAGGGACAAGGCCAGGCAAGGCTGTGGGGGCTAGAGTGGGCATTTTTAGTTCCTTAGGGTACTAACATCTGAGTCTTCTTATTCCAGATGCAAAGGTCCTTGAATCAGGGTCATTGCCTCTACCTCTGCCCACATGGCAGAGTGTTGGCTAGAAAGAGGACTTCTCTGAGTCAGGGCTGTGCGATGGTCCCCAGTGTGCTGTCCACTGCTGAATGGAAAAGCACTAGCCCTGGAATTAGACAGCCTGGACGGTCACTCAACCTTTGATCTTGCCTGAGCCTCCTCCCTCTGCGCAGTTTGCACAATGCATAAGCACTAGTGAGAGGTGAAGCACAGGCTAGTGTTACAGATAAGAGATTTGGGCTGAGATTCTTTGTAGAGTGAGACTGTGAACTGCCCAATGTGTTTCATCTGCAGAGAAGACAAGTCAAGCAGAATGTGATTTAGGAAAAAAATCTCCTAGTAGAAAGAGTGAGATTAAATTTCTGTTGGAAAGGCTAATTTCTCTTTTGCTTCCTTGATGAAACAGGAGAATTGAGAATTAAATGAAAAGATAATCCTTTCAAAGTCTCAGAAGATGGATTTGTCTGTTTCTGTCTGCTGTTGAGCTAGTTGCTATGACCCGCCAGTGGCATTACCATGCCCTAGTGCGAGAGCGTTATGAAGACGTGCAGAATCCTGTTGTTTAACTAAAGGTAACCTCCTTCTGTGTGACTTCCTCTGCCTTCCATTTTAGATTCTCACTTAGACAACTAAGAGAGTGTATAGAAAGTGTCACAAGCTTGTGTCCTCTGGAACCTGCTCTCCAGATCATCAGGGACAGGGCCCCTGCTGCTAGGAACAGCTGTCTTGACCAGGTGGGAGCTGGACTTGGTGTTCTTTAGGGAGACAACTTTCCTGAGAAACCTTTGGGTTGTTAGGGAGCATGTATACCACCAGGGCTGTCGAGAGCAGCCAGGCCTAGGGGACATGTTTGGGAGAGTGTGTGAACCAACAGGAGGGACAGTGACCCCCAACCTGTGTGCCATGCAGATGATCTAATTCAACCAGTGTCTAGAAGTAATGTCAAAATCTTTCTCCATGGAATGCCAGAATCCTAGCAGTGAAAAGCTGAGGAGTTGTTTCAGCTCCATGGAATCCTGAAGCAACCTGTGAGAGCTGCTTTGGGGAATCATTTGCTGAACCAAAACATTCTGGACCCACAAATGAAGAACTGCTACTGTTATGGTTTAGATGTGAGGTGTCCCCCAAAGCTCATGTGTGAGACCATGCCAGAGGGTTCAGAGGAGAAATGATTGGGTTGTGAGAGTCTTAACCCAATCAGTGAATTAATCTCCTGATAGGGATTAACTGAGTGGTGACTGAAGGCAGGTGGGTGTGGCTGGAGCAGGTGGGACTTGGGGCGTGGCTTTGGGGTATACATTTGTATCTGGCAAGTGGAGCCCTCTCTCTCTCTCTGCCTCCTGATGGCCATGTGAGCTGCTTCCCTCTGCCACACTCTCCTGCCATGACATTCTGCCTCACCTCACCCCAGGAACGGAGTCCACTGTCTACGGATTGAGACCTCCGAAACTGTAAATAAATAAACTCTTCCTCCTCTACAATTGTTTGGTTGGGTCCTTTAGTCCCAGCAATGAAAAAGCTGACTAAAACACTGTGTTTAAACCACTTTAAAATGTACTCGATTTGAAATGAATCCACCCTAAGTGAAAGAAGCAGGACGGCAGGTAGGTCTGAATTGATTTTTTAGTCATGGCCTTTGGTTACAGGGACCTTTAACTATGTGGTAACATATGCTCCTTATTAAACCATCAAATTTTATTCATTTTTATCTGTTAGACATTTTTCTTTGAAGTCTACTTTACTATTTAATTCTCAAATTAGATTTTGAGTTTTCACATAAAAAGTTCATTTTGATTTTCCCAAACCCATTATTTATATAAGCTTGGTTTTTGGTGCAGATGAAAACATGCTCAGTTCTTTATGTTGTTGTTTTTTTGTTTTGTTTTTTGGTATGGGGATTGAACTCAGGGGCACTTGACCACTGAGCCACATCCCCATCCCTATTTTGTATTTTATTTAGAGACAGGGTCTCACCTAGTTGCTTAGTGCCTTGCTTTTGCTGAGGCTGGTTTTGAACTTGAGATCCTCCTGCCTCATCCTCCTGAGCTGCGGGGATGATAGGCGTAGGCTACTGCTGCGCCCAGCACTCTCAGTCCCATGTTAGAGAAAGGTCGTTTTCCATTTGTGCACTTCCAGAAGTTCTAACTCCTAGAGGATCTTCCCCTGAAGAGCTGCATGTTTTCCTGAATTGCTTTCTTTGTCATTTTGTGGTATATAATCATGGAAATCATATTCATGCTATGATAGTTAAATTAGGCACAGAAAGAAAAGCAAATTTCCTGAATTAAAACATATAATCTTATGATCAGTAGATAAAGTTTATGTCACTGGAACACTATCACTCTTGATTTTATAACAAATACTAGCTCTATAAAACTAGAAGATTAGTTACATTGTGCTCTACATGTTTAATCTCAAAACTATGTGATCTTATCATTATTAAATGAAAGTGAACATCTTCATGAATATGTCCGAATGTCATGAGCTACATTTCAAACCAGTTAGCCAAACTTACTGAGAACTGTCATTTTCTTCAGTTCTAATGAAGGCAAAAATACCCAACAAATAACCAGCCTTTAGAAATAAGGATGTCATCCACTAATTCATAAACAATTGTCAATATTATTACCCAGTATGATTCTATCTCATATCACTTGTATATGGTACCAAAGCTTGGTCTCAGGGCTGGGGTTGTGGCTCAGTAGCAGAGAGCTTGCCTTGCATATGTGAGGAACTGGGTTTGATCCTAAGCACCACATAAAAATTAATAAACAAAATAAAGATATTTTGTTCTTGTAAAACTTAAAAAAAAAAAACAAAGCTTGGTCTCAGCAATCTTATATTTTATGTAGAAATAACATGAAAACTAAACTGAAATTCTTCTGGAAAATACTTCAGAATAATGCCTTGTTTCATGTTCATAATTACTCATGTAGTCACAGAAAACATAGTAAAGCATGGTTCATCTGAAAGTCAATAGTCAAATTCAAAAACACCTTTCTATTACTAGGTTGCCTACTGTGTCTCTGGCTGGTACAACAAAAGTGCATACAGAAGAGCACCTCGCCAGCATGGCCCTGGAAGACAGCAGGAGGCCTGCAGAATGCAGAAGCCCAGGCCCCGACGGCTTGTCAAGGAACAGCACGGCTTCCAATGGGAGTGTCGACTACAGCGGGTCTCAGTGCTCCTGCAGGAGCCTGAGCTCCCACTACGACTATTCAGAAGACTTTGTCTCTGAATGTTCAGAAGTAGCTGCTAGCAGGAATTTTTTAGGGCAACCTATGGCAACAGAAAAGAAAGAAGAGAATAAAAAGTATACTACTTCTAAAACTGCCCAGCCTGCAGGTAAGAGGCAAGATTTCTCAGCCAAGGCTGGATTCCTGGTTATAATGATGTTATTATTTAACAAACTAGTATTTTGAAGCAGTCCATGTTGTGTTTTGCTAACTTTCCATATTATAAATTTGTATTGTAGGTAAACTTTTATGGAAGGAAATGGGAAGCGAAGAATTAAGGATAATTACAAAATAATAGAAAGTTTTAGCCTGGCACAGTGGTGCATGCCTGTAATCCCAGCAGCTGGGAGGGTGAGGCAGGAAGATGGCAAGTTCAAAGCCAGCCTTAGCAACTTAGGCCCTAAGCAACTTAGCGAGACCCTATCTCAAAATTTAAAAAAAAAAGAAGAAGGGGTCAGTGGTTAACCACCCTCTGGGTTCAATTCCTGATATCAAATAATAATAATAATAATAATGTTTAAAACATGAAGTCTACTCCTCACATGGCTTACCCAAATGGAGCCACCTAGTGAGGCTGGTTCCATTTTCAGTTAACAGGTGGCCTTGTTACAGAGTACCACAGTACTTGGATTTCACTGGCTTCTTGCCTTTCATCTCAGCTGAAGAACCAAGGTTTGAACTGCCAATGAAATACAAATGCCTGTCTCAACACCCCAAGAGGACGGTCGCCAAGACTGGTGAGGCATATTGGCGAGGCAATCTTTTGAACCAGAAAGGTTCAAAAGGCTGTTGTTAATAACTACCAAGTCCACCAACTCCTGCCTGTCCCAGTTGGAGTCAGCCTTGTGACTGACCCCTCCCTCCTGCATCCCTGTCCCAGCTTGCATTCCTCCTGTAGGAGCAGCTGGGACTTTGTCACTCTGGCCATCAGTGCACCCTGGCCAACAGCTGGAAATGCTTGAGAGCCTACCCTTGGGGGGCTCACCTGCCCCTGCCTCGCTTCCCCAGGGCCTTTCCTCCCCAGCTGCTATGACCAGGTGTGTCCTGGATCCTCTGAGCTACTTCTGGGACATCCAGACTGTTCAGTCTGGAGACCCTGGCTCCAAATAAAGATCATCCTTCTTCCTAGCTGCAGAGCAGAGGTTCTTCAATGATCTTTTTTTTTTTTTTTAAATCTTCGGGCATTTGTTGTCTTTTATAGGGAGAAGTGTTTCTCCAGACACCCAAGAGGTTAAAAGTCCCTTTCTAAGATGAGGGAATGGGCCTTCAAGGCCCATCACAAGGCTCTGGGCAGAAGAGGAAAAGTCTTCTTCCCTCTCATGGTGTGGCTCTGTCCAAGAAGTCTGCTATGGCATTTGGAAAAGAGAGCACAACAGAACACCTGCTGGGTCCTGCCATTACACAACCCTTATCCACATCCGAAATTTCAAATCTCTAAAAACCCAACCTCTAGAAAAAATATTTATTTGGAAAAAAAATTGATTTGAATTTACATGAAAGTGATCTTCATTTATCTTATTTGGTGAATAGTTATATATTTTGCCATAAAAAAATTGTTTGAGCTAAGCATGGTGACAGTTGTCTGTAATCCCAGCCATTCAGGAGGCTGAGAGGATAGCAAGTTTGAGGCCAGCCTCAACAGTTTAGCAAGACCCTGTCTCAAAATAAAAAATAAAAAAGGATTGATGATATAGCTCAGTGGTAGAGCACACTTGGGTTCAAGCCCTAGTACCAAAAAATAAGATAGATAGAGCAAGCCCAGGAGTTAGGGACCACCCGTGCAACACAGTGAGACCCTGTCTCAAAAAAAAAAAAAAAAGATCTAAAACAGCCTGTCCCAAGGGCTTATGATAAGGGATCCTAGATATATACATTATATTTTACATCAATTCTAAGCTTTTAAGGAACTATTTAAGAATGCAGTTGGCATCCATAAGACTATTTCTATAAGAAACTGCACCTTATAATTTAGCTTTTTGAAACTGGTTTCTTGTTTATTTATTCTACAAATATCTATTGAGTACATTATGCTCAAGATACCAACTCATAAACTGAAAGCAACCCGAATTAATTCAGTCACTTCTCAGGAGACGAGAGTCGTAAATTCCATTATCCAGAAGAGCAAAAGATTGACTTGTACTTGGGCATCATTGCATGTTTATTTGATATTCAGTTATTATTTTAAACAAATCTTGTGTGCATCTTGAGGACCCTTGCACCAGTATATAAAGAACTTGAAACACTAATTGTAACTTAAAGTTTTGTCAGAGTGATAAATTATTTTTTGGTGGTTTCTTTTATTTTTCTATTCCCATACAGCTTGTGTTTTACAACTGTTTGCTGAAGTAACTTAAATAGCAAGTAATTTGTTCCACTCTAGGGTAATACAATTCTAACCGAAAGCAAAGAGAGGCTTAATGTGTTATTAGTCAATGTGGTCTCTTCCCCAGTGAATTTTCAGTGTCTTTTAAGTTTTCTGATATTAAAAGTAGATCTCTGAGTCTTGAGGGGTGGTAACATAGGATTAGAATCATCAATATAGACCCAGGATTCACTAAAGAATAGTAACATTAGAGAGAAGTTTCAATTCCCAAATAAGAAAATTGAGAAAAGCAAATTTCATGGTATAAAAACCATTTCTTAGATAAAATCTTGAGAATGAAGCGAGGATTTCAGTTTGATAGGATTTTTGCTTTGGTCAAACACTAGAGATTTACTTAAATCATTGTAATAGCAAGAAACATATTTCCACAGTTTGCTATTCAAAAACTGTTTCCTTCTTTTGTAGAGAAATATACTTTCAAAATGTATTCAATTAACATATCCTGTTAATTAGAAAATTGCTTCCTTTGATATATGTCCTTGTCAAGACAGTGCCAAAATGTGTGATTGTCATTCAAATCATTGGTGTGCCACAAAAGGGACTACTGCACTAAATTGCTCAAGACCCCTTTGCTGTGGTCCTTGGCCAGGCAGAGTGGAAGACCACGATCTGTGGGAAAGACACCCTCTCTCAGACTGAACACAGAACTGCAGAGGCCCTCCCTTTGAACCTCTCCATCCCGGGTCCACGGAGGAAGTGGATCCATCCTTTTGTAAGGGGAAATACAGTGTAGATCAGGAAGAGGGAGAGAAGAGCCTAAATAAGGCCCCAGCCAGCCCAGGAGAATGGGAATGTGATTCAAGATACCAGAACAGCAAAGGTGTGGGGACCAAGGGGCTGCAGGGGGACACTGTGACAAAAGGGAGAGGGACCAAGGAAGACAAAAGAGTGGCCCCACAGAGTACAGGAGGACAGCAGCACTTTACAAAGAGGGGCTGGGCCAGGCGACCCAAGGAAGGGGCTTGGGAAAGAGGCCGGCAAGAACAGAGAGGGAGCTTGGGGGCAAGGTGTTGGAGCCCATTGTAAGTAACGTGAAGTGCCTTTGGGCTAATGTATGTATTTTTGTGCATTAAGTTAATCTGAGTGAGTGTTTTAGCTCAGCGGTTTAAGAATTAGTTATCCTAAGAGAAATATATTTGGTTCAATCTGCCTCATTGTGTGAAATAGGATCAAAACTATGTATCAGGGCTGGAGTGTGGCTCAGCGGTAGAGAGCTTGTCTCACATGCGTGAGGCATGGGTTCTATCCTCAGCACCACATAAATAAATAAAAGAATTGTACCATCTACAACTAAAAAAAAAAAAAAAAAAAGTCTTAAAAAGAAACTGGGCTAGGGGTATAGCTCAGTTGGTAGAGTGCTTGCCTCTTGTGCACAAGGCCGTGGGTTCAAACCTCAGCACCACAAAAAACAAACAAAACTATATATCAAACCATTCTTATTATGTATAGTTAATAATAATTCGATATAAAACCATTAAGGATTAAACCCTATTCCAGTTTTCCATAACCTCTGTAGTCAACAAGTGTGTGCCATGTATATACAGTATGAACTTGCTGTATACCACCAAATGCCAGTGGTACCTGAGGGCCACTGACAGACAGGAGCACATGGGGAAGGCAGGGCCTCTGGTCTGCCGTCTTCGTCACTGACCCTGTGCTCTTCAGAGCACCCACACCTCTGTGCACATCTTGACTCCTGGGGCCTGGGCCGCAGTCCCCATGGCCGTGGGGAGCAGTCTCCAGGCACTCTCACATTCTTCTTCTACCCTCCAGTCATTAAGGTGGCGTGGAAGGGGGCACGAACCCCCATGCCCACAGAGTGCACTGCCCACCTCCTCGTCTCAGGGATTCCTCTCGCTGCTCAAGAAGTGGAAGACATGACAAGCTGCTGGCAATGGCACAGGATGTGTCGCCCCGTCCATCCCTGTTTTAATCCAGCCTGATCCACACTGCCTTGGTCTGGGACTCCCCTTGTCTCTGCCCAGGGTACTAAAGCATGTGGCCTCCACACAAGCACAGACACCATCCTCCTAGCCGGGTCCCAGAGGCTGCCTGTGCTCTTTTCTACTTTTTAATGTGCTCTAAATCGACTCTAAAACACTCAAATATTCAGCCACAGCCTCTTCCCAGTGAGAAAACAGGTGCCTCAAAGGCACTACTGCAGACAGTCCATCAGTTATTGACAGGATATCAATGCTGTGATTGCTATGAATCTCCTCAGAAAGCAGGCTTTGTGTCTGCCAGTTGACTTCCATCACGGGCAGAACTGTCCGTCCCACCACCCAGGCCAAACACAGTAACCATGTCTCAGTGTGTCCCTGTGTGTGCCAATAGCTTCAGGTTAGGACTCATGACCCCGGCCACTAAGTACCCTTCCCTCTCCAGAATGAGGACCAGGTTATCTTAGATTTTAGAATCCATTTCCAATTTCCCTTCTTCAGAATATGAATATGTTTACAGGTATACAAATGAAAACATATTTACATATACAGGGGCACTTGGACGCATACACATATAGCATACAAGTCCACATGCCCCTGGGGCAGAAGCATGGGCATGTAGACTGTGGGTTCTCACCACAGTGCTGAGCAACTCAGTGAGACCCTGTCTCCAAATAAAAAATAAAAAGAACTAGGGACAAAATTGCATTAATGATTTGGCAGGGGGAGGTGCCAGGGACTGAACTCAGGGACACTCAGCCACTGAGCCACATCCCCAGTCCTATTGTATTTTATTTAGAGACAGTGTCTCACTGAGTTGCTCAGCACCTCACATTTGCTGAGGCTGGCTTTGAACTTGTGATCCTCCTGCCTCAGCCTCCTGAGCTGGGGCCTGGGCCATTAATGATACTCACACACACACACACACACACACACATACATAGCCTAAAAGCATATATATTTATTAGATATTAGCTCTTTCCCCTTCTAGCTATGCTTATGTTTGTGCATGTATATTGTGGGGGGTACACATATGTATATATTTGCATATCTACATATATTACTAGTAATAAACTGGATTGTCTGCTTACACAGGCCAGAAGGAAATCTCAGTCGAAAAAAAGCACAATTCATCTGTTTTTAATTCTCAAGTCAATATGATTGGCCAGAGAAGAGATGCCATTGCCCATCGAATACTCTCAGCCAGGCTTCACAAGATTAAAGAGCTAAAAAATGAATTAGCTGATATGCATCGGAAATTGGAAGCCATCATTATAGAAAATCATTTTTTGAAACAACTTCAGCTTAGGCACTTGAAAGCTATAGGAAAATATGAGAATTCACAAAACAATCTGCCTCAACTCACAATCAAACACCAGAATGAAGTAAGAAATTTAAGGCAATTACTTAGGAAATCCCAGGAGAAGGAAAGAGCTGTATCCAGGAAACTCAGAGAAACGGATGGCGAGTTATTAAAGACCAGAGATACCTTGCAGGCTCTACAGAAACTTTCCGAAGACAAAAATCTTGCAGAAAGGGAAGAACTGACTCAAAGATTATCTGCTCTTACGACAAAAATGGAGGCAAATGACAAAAAAATACAGGTCTGTATTTCAGAAGCCTAGAAATGTTAGGTCCTCACAATTAATACAGAGAGCACCCATTGATCACGTTGGCCCCTGTTACAGAGCATCACCAACTGCTCAGCATGGCATGCTGCAGATGGTGTCTGGTGGAGGCCAGGGCAAGGGAGAGGCTTAAAGAGAAACAGGAAAAGCTCTGATTGGAGAGGTCTGCTGCCCCATTGCAGGGAACGCGAGTTCACTCTGGAGCTAGACTGATATAACTGAAAACCAGGCTGCCCCCATGCAGGAGGAAGACTTGGCGAGTGTGGAAAGGCTGACCCGCCTTGTGCAAAACCTCCCTTTCAAATCAACCCTTTATGAACTGTTATTAAAAGCCTGCCCCACCAAAATCTGAACGCGGCACCCGTTCAGCCCATTTTCTTGTCTTCTCCCTCATCAGTTTGGCCCATCATTACCAAATAGACATTTTTAGTTGTTTTTTTAAATAGGAACTTTTCCCAGAATTCTCCCTGGAACAGGAAAGAAAAAGGAATTAAAATAACTGATGAGTGAATTGACTTCTTCAACAGCCCTAAGTTGTCAGAAGGCTGGGTACATTAGAAGGAAAGAGTTGGGAGAGGGCCCTGATCATGTAGAGAAGTGTCCTGCCATATTGCATTGAAGGAAGTTTGGGTTTCTATGGACATAAGTGGAATTCATTTACTGCTTAATTCTTTGATATTTGATGGCAAGAGACAAATATTTTCCATGATCTTGAAATAAGTAAATATCAAATTCATTCCATCCATGTTTTTTTTAATCTCAGTTATTTCTTCCTTTTTAAAATTCTCTACTTCCAAAGAGAATTGTCTCAATAAAATGGATGTACAAGGTATAATAACTAGTGAGAAACCTCTGTTTCACTATTGTATACCAAAGTCATATATTTTGCCTTTTGGCTAATATTAGATCCATCTTAGCATATGTCTTTCATGTAAAAGTAAATGTATTTTTATCTTATCTATGTATTTTATATATAAACATTTAAGTAGGTTATTTTTATACCTATAGACAAAAGCAAAGCAAACTTCAGAATTAGCTACTTCTTGGCTATCAGAAGCACATGATAATGTGGGAAATTTTGGTTTGGTCACAGGGCATTTAGTGGAGGAGAAATTTCTGTGAATCAAAACATGTAGGTATTTTTTAAGTATCAGTATTTTAGAGAGTGGGATTTTTAGTGTGATTTCATCTTTTGAGCTTTCTGTTTTCCACTCTTCTTTAATGGAAAAGTATCATTGTCATAATGGGAGGACCCCATTTCATGTAAAAAAGAAAAAGCCCTTTGGCCAAGCCTTCTATCAAAAGTTCAGAACAGTTCTCTATTAAAACAGTGGCAGGAAGCCCGTGAATCCACGTGTAGATGATGACCAGGTTACCTTGCTGTTATCCATCTGTGTGGACACACAGTGAGTCCCCCTTACACCTTGTAGCATCTGGTTTCTGTGAATGGCTGAGACCGACAGTCTGTGCTGAGCTGATCCCCCTGTAAGAAGGGTAGAGAGGTTCTGAAAGAGGACCCCATGCAGAGTTGGCAGAGTAGTTCAGTTAGGCAGCACTACTTAGGTTTTTATCTAAAGTATGACATGATATTTATTGATTTTTCAGGGTATGTCCAAATTTTTGCCAAATTCCAGAATGATTAAAAAAAAAAAAAAAAAAACCACTGGGACATCAAACTTAAAGCATGATATTTATTCTCTAGAAATAAGATCTGAGAATTTGGAGGAGGGCCAGGGTGATAATTAGTTTTAATCTGTGCCTGCTAAGCAAGCCATTTGCTAAATTGTATTAAAAATTTGCAACTTCTTGTAAATGTACTTAGTTCCATTGTAATTGAAGTTTTTCATAATGCCAAATTGGTTACAGAATAGTTGAAATATATACTGCTTTCAGAGCTTGGAAAAACAGCTGAGGTTGAACAATCGAACCTTCAATCGGCAGCTGGCTATCGAAAATCGGAAGACTTTAGCCGCTTTTGCAGCCACAAAGACTCTGCAGATGGAAGTCAAACGCCTGCAGCAAAAACTCAAGGTATGTCTTTCAAAACAACACATTAGAACACTGTGAAATTCTGTGTCCCAAAATATCAGAGCCATTTGTATCTATTATGTCTTCAGATTGTTTAATATCATGTGTTTCCTAAGATATTTCTTTCTTTCTTTTTTGGTACCAGGGATTGAGCCCATATCCCCAACTACTTTTTTATATTTTATTTAGAGACAGGACCTCCCTAAGTTGCTGAGTCTGGCTTTGAACTCACAATCATACTCATGAAGTATTACAGGTGTGCACCATTGCGCTCAGCCTTAAGATCTTGGTCAGACAGATCTACAGCTGTTAGAATGAGCTCACATCCTGGTGAATATGTACTGCAATTAGAAAAATTAAAGCCCTGTTCCATTCACTCATAAGACTTCTTGTTATCATTTTCATTTCATCACATTAAGTAATATTATTGCATTTTGTTAACATTTTAATGTAGTTCAAAATAAGTCTTTAAATTTAAAAAAATAACTTATAATATCATAGTATTAAGGGTACATGTTAATGGTCCATAAATTTATTTAAGGTCTCACTTGCAAAGACCTTTGCAAAACTGTCTTTTGAAGTCTGCACAATGCTTTAAAAATAAGATTTAAAAAAAATTTTTTTTCCTGGGTTGGGGATCAAACACAGAGCCTCACACATGCTAGTCAAGTGCTCTACCACTAAACTACATCTGCGGCTAGCCTCAAGAATTTTTAAAATATTTCTTTTTACAGTTTGCTATCTTTCTGCCTTGAAGATTTCTAAAATGTCCAAAGATTTGGAAAAGCTAGAGAAGACAATGAAGAAATAACCTATTTTGAACCTCCACTAATAAAAGTTAAGCTTCACTCTTTGGGACAAGGATGTTTGGCCTTTATAGGCAAGTAGGGAATTTTGACTTCCTGGGAGCCTTAGGTGGGAACACCCAGAGACAGGGAAGGAAGAGGGCTTGTAGACATAAATTCTCCTTTGTAAAGTAGAGAAGAGTTTTTCTGCTCTTTTTTTTTTTTTTTTTTTCCTTTCTGTAGTTTCAGGAAACTTAAGAAAGAATGTGCCAGAAAATGGGCATGGCTGAAACAACTAGCTTAGAAGTCTGACAGAGAGGCTTCAGGACCCACTGGTCAAGGCAAACATACATGTGGAGACATAATCAGGGGATTTTTAAATAAATTGTGTGCTTCCTTATACAGTATATGAATATAAATAGTATGCACTAAAAACCCTTTCTGACAGGAGAAATGCTTAGTACTTACTGAGATGCTTAGTGAAAAGAAAACCACAAAATTCTATATAATAAGATCCAAATTAATATTTAAAAAGGAAAGTAAATGTACCCTGCATAATGTATTTCAGTGCATCTGTGAAAAGGAAGAGGTTTGGGAATGTAGCACAGTGGTAAGAACTTGCCTAGAATACCCAAGGTCCTAGGTTTGATCCCCAGCACTGCCAAAAAAAAAAAGAAGAAGAATCTTTATGTACTATTATGAAGTAATCTCCAGGGTATATGGGTAAATAAAAAAAGGAGGAAAGGGGCTGGGGATGTGGCTCAAGCGGTAGCGCGCTCGCCTGGCATGCGTGCGGCCTGGGTTTGATCCTCAGCACCACATACAAAGATGTTGTGTCCACCAAAAACTAAAAAATAAATATTAAAAATCTCTCTCTCTCTCTCTCTCTCTCTCTCTCTCTCTCTCTCTCTCTCTCACACACTCTTTCTTTAAAAAAAAAAAGGAGGAATGTTGCAGTATGCTACCATTATGGTTTGGATGTGAGGTGTCCCCAAAAAAACTCATATTTGAGACAATGCAAGATGATTTAGAGGAGAAATTATTGGGTTATGAGACCCTTAACCTAATCAGTTAATTAATCCCATTATGGGATTAACTGTTGGTAACAGAAAGTAGGCAAGGTATGGCCAGGGGAGGTGGGTCAGTGGGGGCATGCATGCCTTTGGGGCATATATTTTGTATCTGGCAAGGGGTCTCTCTGCTTTCTGATCGCCATGTCCTGAGCTGCTTCCCTCCACCACACTGCCATGATGTTCTGCCTCACCTCAGGCCCAGATCAATGGAGCTGGTTATCTATGAACTGAGACTTCTGAAACTATGAGCCCCCAAATAAACTTTTCCTCCTTTAAAATTGTTCTTATCAGGTCTGTTAGTCACAGCAGTGAAAAATTGACTAAAACAGAAATTGGTACCAGAAGTGGGGTTGATGCAGTGACTAATCTGATCATATGGTTCAGAAGCTTTTGGAGCTTTATGGAATTTGCAGGAGGAGTTTTGAGATGCTTAGTCATTCAACTGGAAATGCTTTAGATTGCTGTAAATTGAGCTTAATGGCAGATTCTGGTGGGAGCTCAGAAGACCAGAATGTCAATAGGACTGCAGACAGTGAAGACAGGGCTCCAGAAGGTTCAGAGAAGGACTTTATTGGAAATTGGACTAGAGGCCATTCATGTTATGTTCTGGCTGAGATGTTGTCTGCATTTTCCCCATATCCTGAGACTTTCTATGAGGCTGATTTTGAAGTAACGGACTTCTTAATCTGGAAGGAGAAATTTCTAGGCAACATAGCATTCAGGCAGTGCCATGAATGATGCTGGTGGCTTTTAACCAAGTTTATTGTGTTATTCAGGAGTAGAAAGACTTGAAAAACTTGGACTTCAAAGGTGGGAGCAATACTGGGGCTAAGGGAATTGCAATTATTAAAGACATTATTGCCACTAAAGAAATTCTAAAGACTTTGCCCAGAAGCAATAAGAAAGATGGCTTGAGGCCATCTCAGGAGCTGGCAAGACCATACCCATCTCAAACTCAAGGGAGTAAAGGTGAACATTTTCTTGAAAAGAGACCAGTAGGGTACCCTTCTCACACAAGGGGGCCTATGAAGGTTTTTCAACATGCTCAGCTACCCAGGCACTCAGAGGCTGCTGCATCTAGTATCCCTAGAGGCTTGGCTACTGCTGGAGATGGCAGCAGACCTTGACATAAACCATGTGGTACTAGTTCTTCAGGAAGGAAGGGTGCTGGGGGCTTCCACCATGATTTCAAAGGAAGTCCTGGGAAGTCAGGCAAAGTGCAGCAGGGTCAGAGTCCCTGCAGGTACCCCCCTGAGAGGGCAGTCGTGGAGATGTGAAGAGGAAGCTGAAGTTGCAATGGAGACCCCAAAATTAAGAAATGCCAGTAATGTAGGACATCATCCTAGGAAAGCTACAGCAATTGGGCAGAGACAAGCCAACATAGAGGCCAAGTGGGCTGCAACCAACAAGGCCACAGGGACAGATCTATACAAGCCCTTTGGACAGAACATCATGATGCCATGAGCTCCGGATGCCAGTGAGCTACAGGACTTGTCTGCCCAGCTGGGTTTTGCTCTGTTTTGGTCTCAGCATCCTTCTTTCTATGCCCCCATTCTTCTGAATGGAAATGTTTACTCTGTATCTTCACAACTGGATACTTGTAAATTGTTTTTGATTTTTACAGAACTCACAGCTGAGTTTGCCCTTAGTCCCGAGGAAACTCTGGACTTGAACTTTGGGGCAATCTTGGAACTGTTTGGGGATCTTGGAATGGACTAAATGTATTTTGCATTGTGAGAAGGTCACGAGCTTTTGGAGGTAAAATGTGATGGCTTGAATTTGAGGTGTCCCCCAAAAGCTTTTATGTGAAACAACGCAAGGTTTAGAGGAGACATGATTGGGTTATGAGAGCCCAAACCAAATCCGTACATTAATCCTCTGCTGGATTAACTGAGGGATAATTGAAGGCGTGTTGGGTGTGACTGGAGGAGGTGGGCACTGGGGTGGGTGTATATTTTGTATCTGGTAAGTGGAGACTTTCTGATCATCACATAAGCCACTCCCTCCACCACACTCTTCTGCTAGAATGTTCCTTCAAGTCCCAAGGAGTAGAGCCTGCTATCTGTGGACTAGGACCTCTAAAGACGTGGACCCCAAAATAAACTTTTCCTCCTCTAAAATTGTTCTTGTTGGGTCTTTTAGTCACAGAAGCAAAAAAAAGCTGACTAAAACAGCTACCACTTTAGAAAGGGAAGGCAATACAGATTTCCCATATATTTGCTTATATTTAAAGAAGAAAAAGAATGATAAGAATAGAAAAGGCAGAGAGGATGGGATAGAAGAAACAGTCATAGAATCTAGATTTCTTGAATATATTTTTGGTAAATTTGACTTTACAACCATACTAATATTTTGCAAAATTATAAAGCAGAACTAAATGTTAAAAAAAAAAAAAACTAAAAACCTATCCCCCAAATCCAAAGTAAAATGAAAAAATAAAATGAACTCAAATTTATATTCCTTTGATGGCATAATGTCATAGAGTAAAACAATTCCAAGTGATTTCATTTATTGTATGTATACTGTATTACATACATACATGAATTGTTTTATATTACAATCAAACATTGTATTATATATTGTATGTGATTTATTGCATGCAATTAAATATACTGAGATGCACTGTAAGGTAAAAAAAAATCACTGTTCTTAGTAGTGATAGTGTTGATATTGTTATTTTGAGAATGTAGTATTAATCCCTATGGAGCATGATGAATTATGTTGGTATCATTGAGAACTAGGATTTGGGGATGTAAGAAAGAAAACACAAAAGCAAGAAAAGGTAAACTAAATTAACTAAGGTTAATTGTTTTTGACCTTTCCTATATTGAACTCTTCCTCTCTCTCACCTGACAAAGTTCCAAAGTTCTAATCAGAGACAGATCCCATCCACAAGAACTTCCCATTTAGAACTCTGTATAGGCCCCGCCCTGGAAGTGCATCAGTCTAGTCTGTGCAGACAAAACTCCAATGAACAGCCATGGCCCTTCCATCCTGCTTTGCACTGGTGAGAAGGGAAGCTGAGAGCCATCCCAAACAGCTTCGAACCCAGACACTCCACTGGCAGCTTGGCAAGTGACACAAGAGGAGGAAAGGTTTGCCAATCCCCAGCTCTTGCTCTAAGGGGTACACAGCCCAAGAAGAGACTCTGGCATAGACTTTGAATACCCACCACTGTCCATGCTTTCAGCTACCTCAGTGGAGACAACACTTTTATTTATTTTTTTTAATAATTTTTATTGTAGATGGACCCAATACTTATTTATTTATTTATATGTGGTGCTGAGGATCGACTCCAGGGCCTCATGCATGCTAGGCAAGTGCTCTACCACTGAGCCACAACCCCAGCCCCACTTTCAATTTTCTTTAAAAATTTTTTGTTGGGGGGCTGGGGATGTGGCTCAAGCGGTAGCGCGCTCGCCTGGCATGCGCGGGGCGCTGGGTTCGATCCTCAGCACCACATACAAATAAAGATGTTGTGTCCGCGAAAACTAAAAAATAAATATTTAAAAAAAATTCTCTCTCTCTCTCTCTCTCTCTCTCTCTCTCTCTCTCTCTCTCTTTAAAACAAAAAAAAAGTAAAAAAATAAAGGTCCATTGACAACTAAAAAAACAAAAAATAAAAAAGGCTGCTTTTTATCCCTTCCTGCCAAAGCTCTATGGAAATCACAGAAAATTTATTTTTAAAGTAGTGATTCACCCCAAAAAGGATACCATGATTGTACCAGAGCCACCAAAGAACTTCAAGATGATAAAAAACAGGTGTTTTCAGATTGATGGAGACGCCAGACAGACAATGCCAACCTAAAATGCACATAGCTAGAATCCTAAAGAAGTGACAACAGGACATGGAAAGAAACCCCAAACAGAACCCACAGAGTGAATGAAAGCACTAAGTGGAGCTCAGCAAGGCTCTGGGGAGGAAGTCCACTGCCCGCCTGCCCCACCCCTCTGCCATCAGGCCCTCAGGTGGCCCCTGGGCATCAGCAGCCTTCCTGCAGTGGGGCGTCCTGAGAGCTACTGGCCTCGCAGCAGGCAGGTGTGGAGGACAAGAGTGAGAACGTGCAGGTGGGTGACCTGCACAGCCGCCTCTACAGCCTGCACAGCCTGGAGCAGCAGTCACCAGCGGCAGAGTGCTGAGGAGTGAGTACACTGCTCCACAAGAAATGGGGTACTGGCAGAAACTTGGGTCCCAGCGAAGTCCTTCACGACTGGAGTCTGGAATCCAGGAGGAACTCAGTGAATGAGTCACCTCACAGTGAGGCCTGTCAGTCAGCACCTTCCTTCCCATTCAGAAAGAAGCCTCAGAAGCACGTTGCCACACAGCCCAGCAGGACATAAGATAGCCCAGGCCCACACTCTCACCTGTGTTCAGGCCAGCAGATCTCTAGGAGGAGCAGCGCGTGAAAGAAAGCACAGGAAAACAAGCAGGGCAGCGACCTGGAGTCCAGTTTAACACCCTGGGAGAGAACATGATAAAATTTACGTAAAACATGACGTTCCCACAATGGAACAATAGGAGATGAGTAAAACTTCAACTATGCAGGATGCGAAAGTCAGCAGAAGAGCTAGGAAACAAACAAACCTAACAATATTGAGAAAATCTCCCTAAAAAGAACCAGAGGTCAAAGAGATAAAAAATACCCAGAAGAAAATAAAAGCCAGGTTTGATAACACAAACCTATGAATTCCCAGTGACCCCTCTGAGGCGGAGGATCATAAATTCAAGGCCAGCCTGTGCAACTTGGGGAGGCCCTTTCTGAAAATCAATAGGGCTGGGTGTAGCTCAGTGAGGGAGCGCTTGCCTAGATGTGTGAGGCCCTGGGTTCAGTCCCCAGAAACACAAAGAAAAAAGCAACACACGCAGAGAATATGTTGCACAAAATAATTTTTTAAAAATTCATTCATACCTCACTTCTCATACTTCACTCATTAAACCCCTAGCCTGTCACCTGGGGTTTCTTCCTGCAGTCAGGATACACTCCCACCTCCCACCAATGCTATCCACTGGAAAACTAAGTTTGTCCTGTAGGCCTCTCCAAGGTCATTGCTAGCAGTAATCCAAGTAGGGAGAAATAGAAACTTTCTGGATGTTTTAGAATCTATTCCTGTTATAATGCTGCATTGAAATTACTCCAAAACGTAAATAACTTCAGAAATGACACTGATTTTGGTCACAAATCTACAGTTTAGGACCGCTGGTCTCTGCCCCTCTCATCCTCAGCTCTGACGGTAGAAAGAGGCTGGAATTATCTGGAGTCTTACTCATCGCTGCAGTTGGTGCAAGCTGACAGCTGAGGGCTTAGCTGGGTTATTGGCTAGAATCCCACCCTTGGCCTATCCAAGGGGTGTGAGCTTCCCCTTAACTTGGTGGCAGCATTCCAAGGGCAGGGATGGGGAGAGAGGGAAGAGGGAGGGCTCTGCAGCAGCCATGTTGCCCCTATGGCCTAGCCTCGCCAGTCATGCAGCATCATCTCCTCCTCGCTCCGCGTGCCAGGCAGCCCAAAGCAGGAGACTGCACCTCCTGTGGAGCCACAGGTTCTGTTAGAGCACAGAGAACAGAAATAATATTGTAACGATTTTAAGAAAATACAACCTGCCACATTAACATGAGCCATTATTGTTTGAGCTTGGGAGGGTCCCGTCCCAAAGATCGAAATATCTATCTCTATACCTTGAAACTCATTTTCAAAGTCATCCTTTACCAAGTCTAGGCCCACTTTGGGAGTATGGGCCGAAGTAAGAAGACAGATGTCAGCCTTACTCAGCTCCCAAATGAGGCACTGCAGCCCAGCTTACACGCTGACTACCATCTTACTCCTGGCCAAGGGATGGTGTCTACTGAAACATTGCTTCCTGTCCGATTTTTGTAAGCCATTTACACGAACCTTACCATGGTCCCACACCATGACCTAACTTCCCTTTTAAGTCCAACCTGATGATATCCTTTGAACTTGTGAATAGTCTTTCCTATGGGCATTCCACAAGAATCCATGAGCATTCCTAACTATGGGTTTTCTTTCTTATTCACTTAATTAATGAATTGAACAACCATCCAAGTATTCTGGATTGCATACCAAACCTGTTGTTTTAGATTTTTGGTCCAGCTCTGTAGTAGGTAGCTGACTTGAACCTCTGTTCCAGTCCTGAATGACTGTCCTTCATATAGCTTCCTAATGACCCCCACCATCCCTGTACTGATTCCATCAGAAACAGTCCTTGACCTGCTCCTTCCTGCTCTCTGCCACTGAACCACGTACTACTCCTGAGTGCCAGACCAAACCAAAATATGCATGTGAATTTTCCAGATAATCAAAACTTGACCCTCTAAATGTCAAAATCTTTGTCTTAACCAGCATGAGTGAAAAATCATTCTGAAAATCCTTGTACTGTATCCCTCCTCTTTAACATAATATCCAGAAGATCCTCGATCAGCTTTTCACCATGCGGAACTGTCAATATTTCCCATCTTTGAGCAAAATATCACTACAATTAGAAGGAAGTAAAAGGGAGAAGACTGCAGCATTTTTGCTTCTAGAAACTTAAATTTTAGAATAGATTAGTATTCTTATGTTTTATCCATGTATGCACATCTCATAATAAACTAATTTTAATATTAAAATAAGAGCCAAGAGGCTGGGGTTATGGCTCAGTGGTACAGCACTCACCTCACAATACAAGGCCCTGGGTTCGATCCTCAGCATATAAATAAATAAAGTTATTGTGTCTAACTACAACTACAAAAAATAAATATTTAAAAAATAAATAAAAGGTATCTTCAAAATAAGAACCAAGCCTGTATTCTACAATTCATATGTACAGATGTATATAATGTTCTTTATTTTCTATAACTGAATTACTCTTCCTTATGAACCCCATTCCTACAAATTAAAGTGGGAATGCAGGTGGACAAATGGACAAAAACTTAACTCAGTCTCCTCCAATTAAAATCAGTCTCCTTGCTGGGCGCGGTGATGCCCGCCTGTAATCCCAGCAACTCAGGAGGCTGAGGCAGGAGGATTGCGAGTACAAAGCCAACCTCAGCAAAAGTGAGGCACTAAGCACTCAGTGAGACCTGTCTGTAAATAAAATACAGAGTGCCCGGCTCTTCAATATTCAGATTTAAAACTTAACATTGATGTTCTTGTTCTAGGCTCCACCAACCCTGCCCTTGTATCAACGCAGCTGTCTGATGGAACTTACTGGGGTGATGGGACTGTTCTATCACTGCAGCTCACTTGTGGTCACGAGTCACAAACAGCTGAGCACCTGAAATAGGGGTCGTGTGGCTGAGGAGTGAATCTTAGATTTTAATCAATTTTAATCAATTTAAATCACAATATGTGACCAGTGTGTACTAGAGTGGGCAGTGAGTGCAGAGGAACAATAAACAATAAACTTCAGGCACAGAAAGAAGACAGGGAAAGAAGTTCACTTGCAAGGTTCTTCAAAAATATGGTCCCCATTGCCATAATGCGCCACTTTGTCAAAAAGGAGTGCTTTTTGCTGTCCAGAATGGGATATATGGCCCATTTGTTTCTTCTAGGACCTATAAATTTTGTTCAGAGCTGACAAACCTCATTATTTTTTAGAAGAAATCAAAGTTAATAAAATCAAATGGTTGGGGCTGAGGTTGTAGCTCAGTGGTAGAGCACTTGCCTAGCACATGTGCGACACTGGGTTCGATCCTCAGCACCCCATAAAAATAAAGGATTTGTGTCCACCTAAGACTAAAAATATCTTCTTACAAAAGCAGATGGGTCATAGAAAAAAATGGTATTGTGATTCTTTTTAGGAGAAGGATCGTGAGCTTGAAATTAAAAACATCTATACCAATCGAATACTTAAAAATTTACATGAATTAGACGATTACCCAAAAGGTATGCTTTATTAAACTTTTCTCAAAATATATTTTAACTATAGTTATATTTTTCTAATTTACATAACCAAAATAATGGATTTGTGTGTGTGTTTGTGTGTGTGTGTGTTGCTGGGGATTGCACCTGGGGCCTTGTGTGTACTAGGCAAGTGATCTATCACTGAGCCACATTCCAGTCCCCAAATAATGGACATGTTAAAAAGCATCTTATTAGTTACTGAAAACCATTTTGTGATTTTGGAATAAAAAAACTGTGATATTGTTGAGCTACAAAAAAAAAAAATGAAAATGCCTTCCTGTTTTCTCATTTTCAGCTCAGTATTTTATGTCTTAAGGTGGAAGAAAAGGATAACTTTTCAGCTTGAAGCAAAATCTGCCAAAACCCGAACTTTCTACATCTGTTAGTCAGTGTATGGTCTCTGACAATTAACTTTTATTGAGGTATACTCTACATCAATAAAATGCACCTGTTGTAGCTTCTCAGCTCAGTGCATTTGGGCAGATGCTCATACCCACGTAGCCACACCCTGATCAAGATCCCATCTCCCCAGGAAGCTTCCTCAGGCCCCTCTGCAGTCAGCAGTCCTCACCCCTGGCCCAAGCCACCTTCCATCTCCCTCTGTCACAATAGCTAGTTTGCCTGTTCTAGAATTTCACACCAGTAGAATCTCAGAGCATGTATGTTCTCCTCTGAATCTGGCTTCTCCTGTTCAGCATAGCGTGTCTGAGATTCATCCATGTTGACGCTACTATCATGAGCTTGTACCTTTGTATTGCTGAGTAGTATTTTTCCTTGACGAAAGTACATACTCACCCTCCCACCACCATCTCCCAGCATAAGATTCTGCTCAAGGGAGGTTCAACAGGAACACGCACCTCTATTTTGGCAGAAAAAGTAACTACACATTTACTTTCAAAGGCAGCACCTACGAATTCCTTGCCTCTCTTTGTTTGTTCTGGTTTATAATCCAGAATAACAGCCCCCAGAAAAGACGATGAACAGCCAGGGAGCGGAGATGAGAAAGCATCTAGGTCTAGGTACTCCAGCACGGGCAGTGCACCCGCGCACAGGCCCTCCCGCAGGAGGCTGCAGGGGCTGGGCCACTCCAGTGCGCAACGGCGCCTCCGCAGTTCTGAACCCCTCCCACCAGGGCCAGCGTGCTCTCTTACCCCAGCACTGACCTGTTTTCACTCCACACCATGATGCCTGTGACCCCTGTCACCCAAAATAAGACAAAATGAGCGAAATGGCAGGAAAAAGAAGAGGAAATTAGTAAATGTTATACTTCAATTGAATGTTTAGAAAATACCTAATATACTGTGATTTATTATTACATTGCATATTTCAGTGGTATTTTATGTTTAAATCAATATTGCCTCCAAATGTAAAGTATGTGTCTTACCTATCCTATAGTTTCTTCAACAAAATCAGTTCAAGCAGACAGAAAAAGTGTGTCATTTACATGTATGCGTCACCAGGAAACCCAAAAATCAGAAGATGTTCCGTCTTTGACAACTAAGGTACAGCAAATTTGTATTACAGTGTCCTTTTTTTCTGTATTTTTTAATTTTCTCACTTGGGGATTAGAATTTTTAAGAGTTCTTTTTAGATACACACGATAGTAGAATGTATTTTGATATATTACACATACATGGAGCATAATTTCCCATTCTTGTGGTTGTACGTGATGTGGAGTTCCACTGGTCATGTATTCATATATGAACATAGAAGTTATGATGGACTCATTCCACTGTCTTTCCTATTTTCATCCCCTTCCCTTCCCTTAATTCCCCTTTGTCTAATCCAATGAACTTCTGTTCTTCCCACATAGAACTTATTGTGTGTTAGCATCCACATGTCAGAGAGAACATTTGAACTTTGGATTTTGGTGGATTGGCTTATTTCACTTAGCATGATAGTCTCCAGATCCATACATTTACCAGAAAATGTCATTCTTTTTATGGCTGAGTAACATTCCATTGTGTATATATACCACGTTTTCTTTGTCCATTCATCTGTTGAAGGACACCTAGGTTGGTTCCATAGCCTAGCTATTGTAAACTGAGCTACTGTAAACATTGATGGGACTGCATCACCATAGTATGCTAATTTTAATTCCTTTAGATATATACCAAGGGGCTGGGATATAGCTCAGTTGGTAGAGTGCTTGCCTTACATGCACATGGGGATTGGGTTCAATCCCCAGCACCACACACACACACACACACACACACACACACACACAAAGATATATACCAAGGATTGGTATAACTGGATCAAATGGTGGTTCCATTCTAAGTTTTCTGAGGAATGTCCATACAGCTTTCCAGAATGGTTGCACAAATTTGCAATCCCACCAGCAATGTATGGGTGTACCTTTTACCCACATCCTCAGAAACATTTATTGTTACTTGTATTTTTGATTGTTGCCATTCTGACTGGAGTGAGATGAAATATCAGTGTAGTTTTAATTTACATTTCTCTAATTTCTAGAGATGTTGAACATTTTTTAATATATCTGTTCACCATTAGTATTTCTTCTGTTAAGCAACTGTTCAGTTCCTTATGGATTAGGTTATTTGGTTTTTAGTGTTTTTTTGAGTTCTTTATATATCCTGGAGATTAATGCTCTAAATGGCAGGTGGCAAAGATTTTGTTCGATTCTGTAGGCTCTCTCTTTACACTCTTGATTCTTTCCTTTGCAGTGAAAAAGCTTTTTAGTTTGATACCATCCCACTTACTGATATTTTTTAAGTTGTCAATGGACATTTATTTATTTAGATATATACCAAGGGGCTGGGATATAGCTCAGTTGGTAGAGTGCTTGCCTTACATGCACAAGGCTGAGAATCGAACCTAGTACCTCACACATGCCAGGCAAGTATACTACCACTGAGCCACAACCCCAGCACACTGATTGATTCTTGATTTTACTTCTTGCATTTTAGAAGTCTTGTTGAGGAAGTTGGTCCCTAAGTCGACATGATGGAGAGTTGGAACTACATTTTCTTCTAGGGGCTTAGGGTCTCTGGTCTAACGCCTAGGTCCTTGATCCACTTTGAGTATTGTGCAGGGTGAGGGAGATTGTGATGCCTCCTCTTTCACTTTTCTCTCTGAGGATTGCTTTGTCTATTCTGCCATTTTATTTTTCCAAATGAATTTTATGACTGCTTTTTCTATTTTTATTTTTATTTTTTTGTAATTGTAGATGGATAGCATGCCCTTATTTTGTTTGCTTTTTTTTTTTTTTTTCTTTAATGTGGTGCTAAGGATCTAACCCAGTGCCTCACACATGCAAGGTAAGTGCTCTGCCACTGAGCTACAGCCCCAGCCCTGCTTATTCTATTTTTATGGAGAAATCATTGGAATTTTAATAGGAATTGCATTAAATCTGTATAGGGATTTTGGTAGTTTGGCCATATATGTTATACATGGACACAATGTCTTTATTTTGTTTATTTATTTTTGTGTGGTGCTGAGGATTGAACCCAGTGCCTCCCATGTGTGAGGCAAGCTCTGCTACTGAGCCACAACCCCAGCCCCAGTGTGGCCATTTTGACTATACTAATCCTACCTTACCCAAGAACATGGGAGGTCTTTCCATCATGTATGGGAGGTCTTCTTCAACTTATTTCTTTAGTGTTTTGTAATTTCCATTGTAGAGGTCTTTCACCTCTTTTGTTAGATTGATTTCCAAGTATAATATTATTATTTTTTTTAGTATAATATTATTTTGAGGCTATTGTGAATGGGGTAGTTTTTCTAATTTATCTTTCAGCCAATTCATCATTGGTGTATAGGAATGCAATTGATTTACGGGTGTTGATTTTTTTTTATTCTGTTACTTTTACACTGTTTTAATAAAACGTCTTAATAAAAAGCACAGGAAGCTACAAAATAGTCACTTGTTCTATACAAAAGTACTTGTATTCTTTAGAATAAAATACAATTCAAAATTATCTAGACTCCCAAAACTGTATTTTTGATGTTTTTTGAAATTGTAGGGTAAAATGGCAACAGGAAACATCAGTCATAAAGAAAAATCAGTTGAAATAAACCATGAGATTGCTCACCATATTAATAAACTACCAAAGCAAGAAGATTCTAAGAGGAAAAATGAAGGTAATTTTAACAACTTTAGCAGGTCCTGCTTAGGGCTGTGGGTCTAGCTCAGTGGTAGAGTACTTGCTTGCCCAGCATAAGTGAGGCCCTGGGTTTAATGATACCAAGAACTAAAAATAAAAGTCTCCTTTATTCTTACTTGTTTTTGAACTGTGAATTACTAAGATGTGTATAGAGGCATACACACAACAAAAAGAGTTTACAGAATCAATCCAAGGAGCACCTTATACTCAGTACATTGGTTAAGTGTAGAAGAGGGTTGGGAGAATATAGCTTGGTGGTAAAAGGTATGCCACGAGGCCTTGGGTTCAAGTCACAGCACCAAAAAAAAGAAAGAAAAGAGAACATTGGCACTTCTTAGAACACCCACGGGCCCTTCACAACCTAAGCCCTTGCCCGCCCACCACAAAGGACCGCCATCTTGGGTCATTTCCTTGCAGTCTCTCTCAGCTCCCTGTGCTGCTTGTGTCTGTTAATCCACTTGGGTTGCCAGAGAAAGCACCATCAACTGGTGGCTTGAACAACAGACATTTATTTCTCACAGTTCTCGAGGCTAAGAAATCCAAACGGAAAGTTCTGACCACTTGGTTCCTGGCCTGCAGAGCCATCTTCTCACCACATCTCCATATGTTCTCTGCTCAGCGCCTGACTGGAGGAGGAGGCCAGGAAGAGTGCCAAGGCCCTGGGCTTCTTCTTAGGTCATAATCCCGACACTAGGCCTGCCCCATCCTTAGTACTTTTTTAATCTTAATTATTCCTTAAAAGCCCCCTCAGGGCTGGGGATGCAGCTTAATGGAGGTGTGCTTGCCTAGTATGTATCACACCCCAGTCTTGGGGGAAGGGGTGGGCGGGGAGCTCCACGTCAGATACAGTCCTACTAGAGGTTGGGGCTGCAGCGTATGAAATTGGTGGATAAGGGGAAATATAATCATCAACCCATAACAATATATCCTTCCAAACAAAGTGTTCAGCTTTGAACAACTGAGTCCCAATCTAGCTGATTAAAGGGCAATATTTCCAGGAAAAGATGAGCTAAACAGAGCCCCAGCTTCAGCTCCCCAGAATGAACAGGGGCTCCATAAGCAGGCGAGGGCATGAATCGTTCTTGGAGACAGACAGGAAGAGCCTCTGCCAGGACAGGTGAGGTGAAAGCCATGGGGCGATGTCCTCTAACCTGGACAGGTAAGGGCCAGAGGGGCGAGGGAATGGGCTGCTCAGAGCGTCCAGCCCTAAGATCACCAAAGCTTACCTCCAGCTTTCAGGAGGCGGCCAAAGGAGAATGCTTCTGTGGGTGCAAGGAGAGGCCGCAGGCTGCAGGGGACAGTGGTAAGTGCAGCACGCATCAGCCATGGACGAGGCAGGCCAAGACCCTGACGTACCTGGCACTGGGCCCTGGGGACAGCATGGAGCGGGGTCCTGGTCTATCTCTGCCTCTGGGTGCATGGCTGGGATCTCCATGATTTCCTGCAGGCTTCTGTCACCACCTTCTCTACTAGATCTTCTGTTTCTCAAACCAGGTCCTCCTCCTCCTCAGTGAACCCCATTGTGTGTTAAAGAGCACAGCCCAGCCTCCACAGCTCCTGGAGAATGGGTGGGTGGAAGGTAAACCTGTTCCTTTCATCAGGAAATGTCATTATTCCATGAGTATATTTGATTAATAATCACTTGGAAAGAACATTCCAGGCTGGAGATCATTTTCTTTTTGAATTTTGAAAACATTACTCCCTTGCTTTTGCTTTACATCACTGCTAACATGCTATCTGGCTGAAATTCTGCAAGGTTGGGCAAAAATAATTTCTGGGGAAAGAACAGTGAACTATTTGCAGAGACCACTCGGGGCTCCCTCAGAGTGGAGAGCCCTTGCTCAACACATCAGGCACTCCGCAGACCCTGCAAGGCCCACACCTTAGTTGTGGGGCTAAAGAAGGTTTAAATCACACAGTTGTCAGTCCCTGTCTGCAGTGTGGTAGACACTAATCGTCATCTGCACTTTCACTGTGGTCACTGCTCTACTAACGTCTTGCGTTTATTTTTTTAATTTATGTGTGTAATTCATATTGTCCTAGAAAGTTTATTCATTCAATTGACAGATTCTATTTGGGCCTATAGTACGCACCTAGCACTGGTCCAGCTACTGGGAAGAGAGCAGTGAACAAATGCAAAAGACCCAGCCCCAGGCCAGCGGTGCAGCCGGTGCTGAGTGCGCAGGGAGCCCTGGGTGCAACACCCAGCACCCAAAGGAGAAAAAGATAAACACACTGCCCTGCGGTGCTCGCACTGTGGCGTGGGAACCACTTTCCCTGTCAGCTCACATCACCGCCTCATTCTTCACAGTAGCCCAGAATCCACAGACGCATGACAGGCTTGATTAACCACCACTCCTCTGACAAGTCTCTAAACCGCGTCGCAGTCAACATCTCTCTACCTACTTTTGTGCATTTCTGTAGGCTTGGTCCTAGAAGTGAGGTGGTCAGGCCTATGAGTATGTGCACTAGGAATGTCACTGGTCACTGCCAAGTTGCTGTCCAGTGAAACTCTACCAATGACACCCCCACCAACTGGAAATCACATGTAACTGGATGTGTGAAAAGTGTTCTCCTTGTTTAAACTGGCACCGCTTCCAGCTAGTATTGTCAAACATCTGTTAGTAACTTGTCAGCAAATTTTGTCTATGAATATCATTTTTATTTTGGTTTCATGATTTCCATTTATTTGGGATCTCATAGGAAAGTAAGACTTTTCAAGGGGGTCAATAGAAGACACCCCTTTCTGTGTTGTAGGATCTGTTTTCTTCCCTCTGCCGTGGTACCAGTGTGCTTGTCAGGAAGGGTCGGCGCACCAACACGCATCTTGAAAAAAGAATCCACTGATTTTAAAGGGCACTGCCTTGTCTGCTTTCCCAATACAGATTTACCAAAGGAAGAGGAACATTTGGAAATACAAGCGCCTCTGGAGAATACTGGAAGACAGAAAGAGAAAAAGGAGGATCAAGAAAAGAAAACCATTTTGCAAGAACAAGAATTACCAACAAAAAGAATCCCAGTAATTCACCCTGAAAGAGAAAGCAGTCCGGGAGGTGAGCCGGTGAAGGACAAGTTCAAAGACAGCGTGCAGACGCAGGACAGCGTGCAAACGGCCGACCTGACGCCCGAGAGGTGCAAGTGCGCCCCTCCCAGCTCCAAGCTGGCCTGCAGACAGCGGAAGCACTACTCCTTCACCGAGGCCACCGAAAACCTGCACCAGGGGCTGCCCGCGGCGGGTGGGCACGCGGACACGGGCAGCACGCGGTGCGGGCACAGCTCCAGCAGACACCAGGGCAGCACAGAGGACGGGAAGCTCGTGAGCAGGTACGAGCCCTCCTTCGGAAAGTCCTCCAGAGCGAAAGCCAAAGACACGAGCTTCAAAGAGAAGAAGAGCAACCTCATGGAAGAGCTCTTTGGGTCAGGCTGTGTCTTAAAAAATGACCAGATCAGTCTAGCTGCTGTGGACAGATCCCAGGAGGCTCTGAAAAATAAGGCGGCACACCACGTGCCTCCCGGTCAGGCCTCCGCAGGCAACACTTTCGGAGATTCTAACCTGACTGTAGTCGATTCTATCCAGTCATCTTCACCTACAGAAGGAAAAAGAAAAGTAATTAAGTATAATCAATCAATATCCTGATACATGCTTATGTCATATACTGCTGCTCATGTGCTTCTAATCTCACCATTCCTAACAGGAGAGGTTGTGTGTGTTAGTTCTTAAATTGACCTTAGATAAGTAGGCTGTTGCTTTCTTGCTAATTTTTAAAATCCATTGTATATTATCCAATGGTAACATTTTAAATACAAATTTACATCTTTTTTCTAAATTATTTTTTGAAGACGGGTTTATTACACAGCTTTAGTATCCCATGGACTCCTGGCTGCGGCCCTCTAGTCATTGTGTGAGTACAGAAAGTTATAAGGAAACATTAGAATGCTACTTTTAATCTCCGAGGAATAAAATTGTGGCCAACTTTAAATTTTTTTTTTAGTGTTTTCTACTTTGACTTTCTTTCATATGTTTTCTGTCATGAATAAAACTTTACAATCAAGAAAAAAAATGATTTTTTAAATAAAAACAGATTCATCACCTGAGGATGCATATCTACCTTCTGATAGAGAAGGTACTCGGACACTCTCACTGTAAAAGAAAAAGAAAAAAGGGGGGGAAAAAAGAAGAAGCTAAAGATGCAGTACAACCAAATCCACAGAAGAGGCCAGAAGTCAACGGGTCAGCCGCAGACAGGTGGGGGCGAACACCAAGCAGGGAGGGGAGGGAGGCTCTGCAGCCAGCGTCCGCCAAAACCCGAGAACCTGAGCATCAGGCAGACATCCAGGGCCCACCTGGGCAGCCAAACTGGGTCCCTTCCCCACCTAATCCTGACACTCCCTCCAGAGGGTCTGCAGCCTCAGCAAACTACAACCCTGTGTGTATAAAGAGGCTGAGATTTTGTGGCCAAAGTCATCCCTCATCTTCTGGGACAGCTTGAAACTGGATCACCCCAGGATCTGTATACCTAGAACTGCAGGCTGGCAGGACCCCATGGCAATAGAAATGCAAATCCTCTCTGGAGGAACCTAGGCCTTAGGAAATCCTAGAGCTCTGGGGCTTGCCGGGTGGGCACTAGGGTGGTGGGTGAGAGAGAGAAATGGATCCCAAGCTCACGACACGCAAAAATCAATTCCAGGTGGATTAAAGGCTCGACTCTAGCCAGGTGTGGTGGCACACACCTGTAATTCCAGTGACCTGGAAGGCTAAGGCAGGAGGATCATGAGTTCAAAGCCAGCCTCAGCAACTTATCAGACCCTGTCTCAAAATAGAAACACACTGGGGCTGGGGCTGTAGCTCAGTGGCAGAGTGTTGGCCTAGCATGTGTGAGGCACTGGGTTTGATCCTTAGCACCACGCAAAAATAAAGGCATGTTGTCCATCTACAACTATAAAAAAAAAAAATAGTTATTTTTTAGTTGTAGTTGGACACAATACCTTTATTTTATTCATTTATTTTTATGTGGTGCTGAGGATAGAACCCAGGGTCTTGTACATGCGAAGCAAGTGCTCTACCACTGAGCCCCACCCCAGCCCACAAAAAAAAAAAAAAAAATTAATAAAATGTTAATGGGGCTGGGGCTGGGGCTCAGCGGTAGAGCGCTCGCCTACCACATGCCGGACACTGAGTCCGATCCTCAGCACCACATAAAAATAAGAGCATTGTGTTGAACTACAACTAAAACAAACCAAAAAAAGTTACAAAATAAAACATACAAAAAAAGGGCTGGAGGGGCTGTGGCTGTGGCTCAGTGGTAGAGCACTTCCCTGATAGGCGTGAGAAACTAGGTTCAATCCTGGCACCACATACAATAAACAAATAAAATAAAGATATTATGTCCATCTACAACTACAAAAATATTTTTAAAAAAGGGGGGGGGGGTTGGGGATGTGGCTCAGTGATTAAACGCCCCTTTAAAAAAAAAAAAAACTGCGCAGTTTCCCCATTTAAAGTCACTCTTTTTTCTCTGTGTATAAGTATTTTATGGAGAGGTCATGAGACAATGCAAATAGCTTGCTGGTACATTTCCATCCATACATTGTAGCATACCATTTGGCCATCCTTCCTTCTACATTCATTAATTGAAATCTTTAGCAGGGGGGGAAAGGTTCCCTTTTTTTCTCCTTATTTATACTAACATGAACTTTTAGGTATTTTATTTTATGAATTATAATCCTTACTTATTTTGTTCTCAAGTTGTTCCAGACTAGGCCATTGGGAGCTTTTTCAAGTGGGTTCCCAAGACCTTTCAACAGGCCCCCATCATTAACCAAGTAATCAACGTTAACATCATTACCACTGTGAGATACATCAATGTACTGCATTAGCAAGGTGGTGGTCTTGTCAAAATGCCTAACCTGAATTCAATTGTAAATGCACATCAAACCACTTCAAATTGAGGTTTTTCTATAAAATAACTAGCCAGCAATCTTCAAAACTGCCAAAAATCTTGCAGGAAAAAGACTGAAAACCTATCCCAGGTTGGAAGAGATTCAGGAGACATAAGCAGCAAATGTAATGTGGATTCCTGGACTGGATCCTGGATCACAAAAGACTTGTGGGGCAATGCACACAATTCAGTAAGACCTAGAGGTTAGTTCTATTTTATCTCCTGATTTGATAGTGGCTTTATAGTTAAGCTGTTAAAACATTTGTGGAAACTAGATGAAGGCTATGCAAGAATTATTTGTGCTATTTTTGTAAACCTGAAATCATATTAAAATGAAAAGTTTGCTTTGAATGTAACTATGAAAAGTCAAATAGTACTAATTTTACAAGACACATAGGGAAAAGATCACTTTATGATCTTTGGCTAGGTCAAGATCCTGAAGATACAAAAGTATGAATCACAAAGGAAAAGTATAGGTTATGAATGATATCTGTTCAACAGATGATCTATAAACAAAGAGAAAAGAGAAGACCCAAACGTGCAGAAGACTTGCTTCACACTAGTGAATACAGCTTAGTATTCAGAATATATAAGGAATTAAATCAGTAAGAAAGGTCTAAGAAACGGGCAACCAGGATCAGGAATTTCAAGAACAGGACTAGACAATATATCTTGTTAGTAGTCAGTAAACACGAATAAAACCTCTCAAAAAGTGAAAAAGGAGGGGCTGGGCATGGTGGTGCTCCCCTGTAATCCCAGCAGCTTGGGAAGCTGAGGCAGGAGGATCGTGATTTCAAAGGCAGCCTCAGCAAAAGTGAGGCACTAAGCAACTCAGTGAGACCCCATCTCTAAATAAAACACAAAATGGGGCCAGGATGTGGCTTAGTGGTTGAGTGCCCCTGAGTTCAATCCCTGGTAACCCCCCTCAAAAAAAAAAAAAAAAAGTGAAAAAGGAGGCCAGTATCAAGCCTTGGCAACAGTATGGATCAAGTGGAATTTTTTTGTACACCAACAGGAGAGCATATATATTGGTTCCCCCACTTTGGAAAACATTTTGGCATTACTTAGCAAAATTAAATAAACCTATAACCTATGAGCCAGCAATTTGAGTCCTGGGCATATGCCCTGGAGAGGCTCTAGCATAACACCTGCCACAAGACCTGGCTGAGAACGCTATGACAGCACTGTCTGTAATGACAAAAAGCCACAAACAGGGGGCTGGGGATGTGGCTCAGTGGTAGAACACCCCTGGGTTCAATCACCAGTACCATGAGGAAAAAAAAAAAAAAATCAGGAAGAAAATTTAGTGAACATGAAATAATAGAGTCCAATGTCTTTAACTACAATATTCATTCAAGACTGAACTCCTTGGAGAAGACAGCGCCGTCAAGGTTGAGAGAGGAAGCATTAGGCCCCAAACATGCAAGCAGAAAATCTGTCCCACAAATACCCACACCCCCAAAGGCAGCAGGAATGGCCTGGCCTGGGGGTTGCCTCAAACGTCGCACCCTGGAAAATTCTGACAGTTAACTGGTATCACCTCAACTATGAAGAAAACGCACTTTTTTATGTCTTATGGTCCTGGTAGAAAATCACTGCATGATTTTTTTTTTTCTTTCAGTTATTCCTGACCTAAATATGATGGGAGGGCCAACACAGTCTAAGCAACTATCTCTAGCCCTGAGGGCACGTAGGGCATCACTAGAAAGGAAATCTTTTATAGGCTGGAGCTGTGGCTGAGAGGTAGAGTGCTCACCTAGCATGCGTGAGGCACTGGGTTCCATCCTCAGCACCACATAAAAAAATAAAGATATTGTGTCCACCTATAACTAAAAAATATTTTTTTTAAAAAAAGAAAGTAGACATTACCAAAAAAACAGGATCTAAAACATAAGCAACAAAAGTGCACAACAACAGACATCATCGGTTAACACAAAACCACACAGATCTCAGATGTCAGGGAGCAGGAGAAGTCTCGTCTCAGGTGGTCAGAAGCAGCTCCCTGGTGTTTCAAGTCCAGGCTGGGGGCAGTGGGTTCCCACAGCCCCCGACACACACACCCAGCACAGGAAAAACCACGCAAGGCCAGAGCCCAAAAGCGCAGGGAAGGGAAATCAGGTCCCACCAGCTCTGTCCCTTGTGGTGGCAAGAGAGGAACCACAGGAGAGTGACTGTCGGTTTGTCATGCAGAGGTTTCCCAGCTGGTATACCACAAGTTTATGACCAAACTGGTAAGAAGAGAGTTTGAAGTATATTTTGAAGCAGAGGTGTCTGTTTTTATGTAAAGCTGTTTTAAAATATGTAATTTTAATAAACACTTTGTGTATATTTCCAAATATATACAAAATATTTTGAATAAAAACCCCATAAATATGATACACACCACAAATAGGAAAAAGCAAAATTCAGCAATCCTAGTCCCATGGAACCAGAGGCTGTGCTTTCTCACTCTTTTTCTGTACTTTCCAAGTTAGATTTTTAAAGATAAACAGGGATGGGGTTGTGGTATAGAGCACTTGCCTAGCGTGTGTGAGGCCCTGGGTTCGATTCTCAGCACCATATATAAATAAAAAAAATAAAGGTCCATTGACAAAAATAAATAAATAAAATGAATAAATAAAACAAGAATTATTTTCTTTTCAGGTTTTACTTTTATAACTTAAAAAAGTTACTTTACAAGCACATACATCAGTATTCATAAACACATGGATATCTTGGAGAAACCATAAGAAACTGATAACATGAGAACTCTGAGAAATTGCTTTACAAGATGGTATCCCTTTCTGTTATCTTTTTAATTCAACCCCATACTTATTATTTACTTAAAAACAAAAATACTTTTTGAAAAAAAAAAAAAATGATGTGCAACATAAAGGACGTTTCTATTTCCCTACATAATCTCCCCAGACCCTTCATGAACTCTCAGTCTTTCCTCAGTGAGACTCGCCACAATTCCGGCAGCATCAACTGGAAGGCAGAGGGTCTTGCTGGGGCACTTCACACTGATTGGTGGTCCGCGGACGCCCTGGGGTGCTGCACCTGGCTGCCCACTGATTTCCGTATGACCATCACTTGAGGCTGTAGCTTGCTGGGAAGGGGAGGGAGGCAGGAGCCTCCCTGTGCTAAACTCCGTGGAGGCTGCCGCACTCTGGGCGGCCTCCTGGGCCACTCTGTGCTCCTCTCCTGTGGGCTCCTCCTCCTTTACAGCCGAAGCATCTCCTGTGTGGTGTGAGACTCCAGAGCTGCCATCAGGTCCTCCTGATCCTATCTGCTATGAGCACTGCTGAGTTTCCAGGTCTGCACGCGTCATGAAGTAAGGTGGGTACTGGGAAAGTCTGCAGTGTCTTGTGAGTTTAAGTTAGTGGAACCTCAAACCCACCCTGGTGGGCCTCAATATGACAATAAACTAAAGGACCAAAGCACTTTGTCTTTTCACAGTGTAATCAACTAAAATAATAATGATCTACTTATTAGATCATGAGAAACACAAGAATTAAGAATATGATCTTTGGGCAGGGGGCAGTGGTGCACACCTATAATTCCAGCAGCTTGGGAGGCTGAGACAGGAAGATTGCGAGTTCAAAGCAGCCTCAGCAACGGAGAGGCAGTCAGCCACTCAGTGAGACCCTGTCTCTAAATAAAATACAAAATAGGGCTGGGATGTGGCTCAGTGGTCAAGTGCCCCTGAGTTCAATCCCCAGTACCCACCCCACTAAAAAAGAATATGATCTTCTGAAAACCAGTGAGAGAATTTAGCTGTACTGTGCTATAGTTACACACCAAGTTAACAGCCAAGCCTCTCACCACTTGTCAGTTACAAATCGTTTACAGCAAGTAAGTGGTGACAAGGAAGTAAGTAACGCCAGCACTTGCAAATATTTTAATTAGAAAATGTGCCTCAAAAAATAGATTTAGCAGAATTATACTTTAGAGGTCAAAAAGTATCAGTTCAGATTAATTTAATCAGACTCCCTACTTTGTGTTTTAACTTTGTTCCATTCTACTAAGCATAAATATTAAATGCTTACAAAACATACTTAATTTGAAATGCTTAAATACAAAACAATTCATTATGGTCTCATCAGTACATTTATAAAGCACTGTAATGAAAACTAACAGCTCCAAATAAGTAGATAATATACACTATGCAAATGTTTATCCAACAAACAACATTTAGACATAGAAAAAGAACAAGCAATGTCAATTAGTGTTATTCTTTCAGTTATACTACATGAGGCAAAAAAAACAAATGTTCAAGTTCTAGTAGTGATAATAAGATTAAGCTACTTTCTAAACTGAATTAAAAAGTACTTAAATTGTTAGAAAATTTTGACTTTCCAGTTGGCAACAAAATAATGTGCCAAGAGACCAAATCAGTGTTTTAAAGCCAGCGTTAGGTGGTTGATGCACACGTCCCCAACTGCAGAACACTGGGATTCTCACAAGAATCTCACAAAAAGCCCAAGAACATATTCAACAAAAAAACTACCCTGTGTACTCTGGGGTTTTTTTGTTGTTGTTGTTGTTGTTTTTGTTTTTTTAAGTGGCAATCAGACTTTTAACCTAATAAGAGAACTATTTTTGTAAGTCATACAGCTAGGCCAGGTGTGGTGGGGCACACTTGTAATCCCAGCAACTCGCGAAGGCAGAGGCAGGAGTTTGAGGTCAGCCTGGGCAACTTAGCGAGACCCTGTCTCAAAATTAAAAATAAAAAAGGCTGGAGTTGGGGCTCAGTGGTAAGGAGCCCTGAGTTCAATTCCCAGGACAACAAAACAGTCCCCCAGCAGTGTTCATCTCCTCTTCAGCTGAAAGGGTGAAGTACAATCGCCACAACCTTGTTACAAACTAAAATCCAACAGGTAATTCCAACACCACCTGAAAATAAAGAAATTGAACATGAGAGCATGCAGACAGGCTCGCCACACTTCCTGCCTGTCACCTTCAACTTAATTAGAAGAAATTACAGGACTGCAATTCCTTCTGAGCAGTGCAGGGTGAAGAAAGGCTAAGTTCATGGGTTGAACTCTGTCAGACTTACACAGATCCACAGGGCAACATCATTACTAAGCAGAAATTACACTGAACACAGGCCCTGGTTTGAGTTCCCTTTCCTGCCAGAAAGATGCATTACTATGTATTATAACAACAGACTGGAAGAACTCTGCTTAGTAAAGAAAATTCACTAGTAAAAAGTGAATTGATACAGTGCCATGATCTACATGCTTGTACCGCCCAAACCACATGCTGAAACCCTAACTCCAGTGACAGTGTAGGAAGGAGGGCCTTTGGGGTTCTGAGACCTGAGAACTCATTCTTGCATTCATAACAACACCTGAGAACAGGCAAGAAGGAGCCACCTATGAACCAGAAAATGCACCCTCAAGCCAGGCACAGTGGTGCACACCTATAATCCCAGCAGCTCGGGAGGCTGAGACAGGAGGATTTCGAGCTCAAAGCCAGCCTCAGCAATGGCAAGGCTCTGGGCAACTCAGTGAGACACTGCCTCTAATAAATAAAACACAAAATAGGGCTGGGGATGTGGCTCAGTGTTGAGTGTCCCTGAGTTCAATCCCCAGGAAAAAAAAAGCACTCTCATCAGACACAGAACCTGAAGCACCTTGACCTTGGACTTCCAGCCTCCAGGAAACAGAACAGTAGGATGATATGTACCAGATGTTCTTAACTACATCAGATACATGGAAAAAATATACTTCTATAAGAGGTGTTATCAATAACTAATGGGTTGTTTGGCTGTTTTTGTTTGGTTGGTTTTTTGGGGGTACCAGGGACAGAACCCCAGTCGCTGGGATTACAGGTGCATACTACAATGACCAGCTTGGGTTTTCAATTGTTCCTATATTTCTTTTTCTTTCTTTCTTTTTTTTTTTTAAATAAATTAACTCCTGTATTAGGACTACTTAGGAAACAATGTATTCAGTAACACAAATACTGATAATTGCAGATGACTGATTTGGAAGATCATTCAATTTTTTGTACATCATCAGTGTTCCTGTATTTCTAATCATTCTTCAATAACATGTACTATTTTTTAAATTTCTTTTTAATATTTAGTTGTAGATGGACACAATACCTTTATTTTATTTATTTATGTGGTGCTGAGGATCGAACCTAGTGCTCCACGCGTGAGAGGCAAGTGCTCCACCACTGAGCCCCAGCCCAGCCCAGACATGTACTACTTTTAACATCCAATAGAGGTTATCTTTCAAAAGTAAAAGAAGGGTTGACAGCAGCAAGTGTGCAGAAAGGCCAATCTTACTACAGACTGAAAAGACAGAACTTGGGAACAAGAGGTAGTGTTTAATGAAGGGTGCATCAGAATCCCCAAGTTGGGCCTGGTTCCTAGAAGCAGACCCCAGCTGATTCGAGTCTGTTCTTTAACACTGCAGTGACCATGGACAAGTCAAAGAGCTTCTCTGGACTTCAGTTTCTTGTCTGCAAGCCTTGTACAAAGCTGAGACAAACCACAGATCGCCAACAGATGGTGAGTGAGGACGATGTCAGGTAACTCAATCTCCCACCACACACCTCTGCAGGGTCTTCCACTGTGTTTTCCAAAAAGTTCTTACCTGCTACTCTGGTAGGGAAGGCTACCAGGCGGTCTAGCGGTGTTATCCATTTACTTGGCACAACAGCCACGGGGACAGAATAATACTTCCAAATGAGCGAGATCATCAAGGCTGCCTGGAAAGACACTTCCAGTGAGTAAAGAACACGTGCCATCACACAGATAATCACAGGGAAGAAGGTGGAAATGTAATGAACACTGAGACACTGACAGCCCCAAGCTCTGTCAACCCAGTCCTCAAAGCCAACAGAACAGACATACCAGCTCTGCTGTCCAGGGCTGCAGCCTCGAGAAGGAACATCTAGCTGAGGAGAGTTCATAAGCACATCCAGAATATGCTGCCAACAAGCAGCTGAGCGCTCTCCCGGGAACTGGCATCTTACTATTTCGTTATGAATCCACATATACACTATGTAAGTTAGCTGATAAGCTAACCAAGTCCTCGCTTAAGACAGGTGTTCTGTTCCCACTGCCTGTCTCTGACTAGATGAACTACAGCTGAATACAACAGAGAAAGACAGAAGCACACCCTTGCCTCTAAGACCCTTGAAAAATGAGCTAATGCCCCCAACAGCTGTGTCAGTGTAGGAGTGCACAAGTGAACCCCAAGTTTCAAAGTTGAGTGGAAAACTGAAGAGTGGCTTTCTGTCCCATTCATGATCTTGAATATGCCATGAAAATGAACAGACTTAAAAGGGGCACTGGGGTAACTCCTGTGTCTCTGAATCAATGTGGCATCAAATACAGTGCCTCAGATCATTTCACTTCAGTGTACCCCAAAACCTGGACTTTGCAAGGTAGGTTTTCGAATACTTCAGCTCAGTAAAGACCATACATAATGTTAAACTCCTCTCAAGCAGCCAGAGGCCTGCCCTGTCAGCACACAGCCACAGCCTCATACAAGCAGCAACAGAGGTGGCAGCCCCAAGGGAAGCCTCACAGCAGAAGTCTGCAGCTAAGAAGCTGGGGCCTCGGAGTGCTGTCTGTGCACACCAGGGAACAAGCACTATCCAAAATGACTGCAGATATTAGAAAATACAAGTTTTGTAAACTTCTTACAACATCCCCGGGCCCTTAAAACTGTACTGGAACAGAGGCAAGGTGGGAACTCCCAAGAGGTCACTTCAGGGTTCATTTGCCAAAGTCCCAACCTCTAACAACTCGGCCCCAGAGAAAGGCTCTCTATCAGTGTAATTAAAAATTCACAGGTGGGGCTGGGGATGTGGCTCAAGTGGTAGCATGCTCGCCTGGCATGCGCGCAGCGCTAGGTTCGATCCTCAGCCCCACATACAAATAAAGATGTTGTGTCCGCCGAAAACTAAAAAATAAATATTAAAAAATTCTCTCTCT